CCGGTATTTTTAAAATTAGCGGTCATCAGCGGCTTGTGAGCCGCTGATGACAGCTATTAATTTAAAGGGGACAGTCTGCTGAACAGTTCTACTATAAGCTGATGGTCGCTAAAGCGACCATCAGCTTATAGTAGAACTGTAAATGCCAGGTCCGTACGACGTACTGAGCTGGCCAGCTGGAAGCACTTTTGTAGCTCCGTACGATGTACGTCCTTGGCAGCGAAAGGGTTAAAGCTTATATGAGGGTTTCTACGGAATTGTGATATCCTATACGGGGCACCTGAGATAGAACAATGAGGAGAGTCTCCTACGATTCCCCTGGGGTGGTTTCCGTCTCTGCCCCTCCTATCAGGCCGGGGTGAAGGTGTCGCTCTCTTCCAGCTGGAATCCTGGACTGGATTGTACAATCTGGGGAATCCCAGAGAGACACAACAAAGCTCCGTGTAATTCGATTTGACAGCTACCATGCAAAATGTGAACGTGGCCTTCCAGCTTTGCACCAAATATTCATTATTACAAAAAAAAAGAGATCTAAGGCCGTCGTACTGATACAAAAAATTACATTCCTCTCTACCTGCTCCCTAGATGAGAGGAAGGTTTGCACGTGTTATAACGAGGAACGCATTGCATATAGTGAATAACCTTCAGACACGAGGTTCCGCCGAGCAGCCTCACGCCCTTTGCATGTTCAGCTGCCGTCCATCTAGAAAGCAATGGGTTAATAGCTGCTCAGCTCATTGGGAAATAGCGGTTACCATGGCGATGGCTGCAGTGCACCCCCACCCCCTCCTCCCTGCGCTGTCAAGTTGATGTTCGTCTGTACCATCATCCATTTCCTACTAGTAGCGGCACGGAGAACGCGCATCATGCAGTTCATCTGCTGCCATGTTATCCAATTAGTGGAGCTGCTCTTTCTGGCTCACTTAAAGGGCAACTCCACAAACACACAGCAGCAGCAATGGAGTGTGGGGTGGAGTTTGAATTCCAATGAGCGTTGCTTGTCCTTGCTCAGCCCCACACGGTCTTCACGTTCACATCTTGTAAAAGACCTTCATGGCGCATTTCTTTGGCCTAACTTACAGCACAATGGCAAGGTGGTGAAGCTACAGGCCTCCATGACATCCAGGCCTAAGGGCCCAGTCACAGCATCAAGAGTGCGTTCAGCCTCTGGAACGCAACCCGGCCGGCTCACTTTTTTGGGGGGGGCAGTTTGGTGCATTGAACTCAATGGCACTGCAGCCACGCCCCCCGCCCGCAATGCGATCGCCAGCACCCGAATGCGTGGCACATTAGTGCCTGTATTCCGGTCCAGTGCGATCTGCAAAAAATAGTGTTTGCTGCTTTTTTTGCAGATCGCACTGGACCGGAACGCAGGCACTAATGTGCCACGCGTTCGGGTGCTGGCGATCGCACCGCGGGTGGGGTTCAATGCACTGCCATGCCCCCTCCCGCCCCAAAACAAAGAGCCAGCCGAGTTGCGTTCCAGAGGCCGAACGCACTCCTGATGCTGAGACACCCTCCCAAAAGACAAATGTCCAAGGACCTGTAGCACTCCTTACCGGACTTCCCATGTGGAGATGTGGGTGCTCGCAATGACTACGGATGGCGCCGCATCAGATATAATCGTTGGATATGGATGTCACCAGCACTCCACCAGCAAGCCTGATGAAGGGGACCCTGTGCGGCCCCGAAAGCGCTTGATTTCTTTCGAGTGAATAAAATGAAGATTCACTAAAATCTTTTGTTATTTTGACGTTTCTGGAGTGCTGGTGACATCCATATCCAACGACCCTCCCAAAAGAGTCACACGGTCCAGCACTTTCAAGTGGACAATTGTCAGTCTGGTGACACGGAGGTGTATGGGGAATCTGCACGCTATATTTCTGGCTTAACCTGTCAAAGGACTTCTGCAATTCTGTGCAGTCAGTTGTAAATCACGCACACCTGGTAGACGCAGGACACCCTTTTGTGGTTTCCCGTTCTCACCTCTCTGACGCATGTGCAGGAAGTCAACTAAGAAAAAGCTGCAGAACAGAACCAAATAGAGTCATTTTTCCAGCTGCAAATTCCAGCAGACATGTGAATCACAAAACTGGCTAAACAGATTTACAAATCCTTTCAAAGGTAAGCATTTTAAAAGGAGGAGAATGTATCCATTTGCCAGAAGTTACTTTGAAGGAAACCTGTGCTGGAAGAAACGTAGAAGCTGCCCTTCTTATTATGCTGCTTGGCCTGGTTGTAATGCCGATTACTTCAACGCATTCAGAGCCACTGGCCTGGAACCAGAATGCAGCCAGTGAAGCCAGAACTCCAGTTGGCTGCTTGTTCCTGGACAGAGACTCAAAGAACTGGAGACATCAGATAGGCATGACAGCCAGCCGACTAGCATTTTCAGAGAAAAATATAATGGCAGCCTGCAGATTTCTTTCTAGGATATCCTGTATACAGGTGAAACTCGAATAATTAGAATATCGTGCAAAAGTAATTGCAGTAAGTGCTGCAAAAGGGGCCCAAACCAAGTACTGAGTACATATGCATGCTTGTACTTTTCAGAGGTCCGATATTGTTCTATGTACAATCCTTGTTTTATTGATTGCATGTAATAATCTACGTTTTTGAGGTTGTGGATTTGGGGTTCTTGGGGTTTTCATGAGCTGTAAGCCATAATCATCACAATTATGACAAATCACGGCTTGAATTATCTTGCTTTGCATGTAATGAGTCTATCTCATATATTAGTTTCACCTTTTAAGTTGCATTAGTGAAATAAATGAACTTTGCACGATATTCTAATTATTCGAGTTTCACCTGTATAACTATAGTTCAAAAACTATTGAAAAGGATATTTTGAAAGGGACAGACCTCGTTTACCGCCTGAGCTCACTTTATGTTCCCCAGCATGATAACCCGTGCTAAGGAAATGCCCCCGCCTTTGAGAGTCAGCAGGTGAAACTTTGCATGGTAACTTGCTCTAAACCAGGGGTAAGCAAGCTCCGGCCCTCCATCTGTAGAGAAACTACAAATCCCATGATGCACTTGTCTCTGGGAGTCCTGCCCGTGAAAATCTTGCTGTGTCTTATGGGATTTGTAGTTCAACAATAGCTCAAGGGTCAGAGTTTGGCCACTCCTGCCCTAAACCTTAGCGGTCCCCGACAGCTCGGCTTACCATTGAGGACTAGGAACCAGAGTGCTTTGTGATCATGTGACCACTATGCCAGTTAGGAGGCTTCGTTGGCATAAACAATGAAAGCTTCCCGTCCGCAGATGCACCCAGCCACCCTCAGGCTAAAGCGGCGTGTGCAGTGCCATCAGTTTTTAAAGTGTACATCTAAAACTTTTTGGATACAGTGGGAAGGTTTCGCACACCTTTCAGTATTTTACTGCTATCCAAGGCTCCTTAGGAGATTTCTCATCACTTCCTGTCTTTCTGACAATGTTTTACCAGACAGGAAGTCAGGGGCTTTCTCCAACAACACAGAGATCAAACTTTTTTTTTTTTAAGAGTAGGGGGAAGGCTAGAACCCCTGAGATTTGTTTTGTCCAGATTTTCCCTTACTTCCTGTCCTTTAAAGCTATGGTCACCGGAACAGGAAGTGAGGATTTTTCTTTCTATTAACCATTTGCGTGCATGTCAACCTACAATAAAAAACAGAGCCGGATTATTAAATCAGTGTACCAAATAAAAGCCTTATGTGCCCTCAAAGCTATATAAAAATATTTAGGTAAGCAGACTGGACACTGAGTTGCTATTTTTGGGCATCACCCCGGTCATGAAAAGCTTACCACATATTAAAATTAAACTTATTTAGACCACTCGACATTTAAAATGTATGTTTTTCAAGTGATATCTCAGGACAAATTTGCTGCCTCACCTGATGCCGCAGTGAATTATTGGCCAGCGTCGGCGTTCCTGAAATCCCGCTATTGTGTTTTGAGTGTATGTTGTTGACTGGCGGCAGTTTGGCAACCTTACTGGACTTGCTGCTGTTGTTATTGTTGGTGATGCTGCTGGGCCCCGCGGTGCACTTGCGCTTTTTCCCCGCCAGCTTGTCCAGGGTAACGCGGGAATGCGGGAACGCGTTGTGAGAGTTCACAGCTTGGTCGCCGCCGGCCTGGTGAACGAAGGGCCCCAGCGAGAGCGTGGAGTCACTGCTGTTCATGACCACGCTCATGCGCTTTATCGATTCCGCAGGGTTCCCGCTCGGGGGACCCCTCCCTGATTGGTCGTGCTTAAGACTCACAGATCGATTGTTCACAAAGTTGAGGCCGACGCTGTGCGGGCTGCCGTGCTGGGACAAGGTCGTGCCGGGGGAGTGGTATGTGCCAGAGTTCGCTACACAGTTTTTCCGAAAGGACTCAGTGGAATGAGAAGGGGGAGGCGCTAGCAGCTGGGGTGGGGAGTTGGTTTTCTTTTTCTTTCCTGAGCCGCTGCTGCTGCTGTTGGTGGTACTACTGCAGTTCGTGCTGCTGGCGGGGGATTCCTTAGGTTTCACAGCCTTATTGGATTTTAACTTTTGAGGTTTGCTGGAGACTGGGCTAGGCGATGAGGAAAGCACTGACGGTGTGGATGCTGAAGAAGAAGAAGACACTTGTCTGGCTTGCATACTACTGGTGGCTTCGGTTGCAGTGTGAATGTTTAGTGTAGTTCCTTGGGGAAGGACTTTGTCCGCAGATGTACTGGGGGAAGAGACGGGGGCCTGGGGAGAGGTAACTGTGCTGGGCGGGAGGAAACCAGTGTTGTTCATACTCTGTGACACAGGCACCGAGTTTGTGCTGGTCCGGTGTGGAGCGTGCATGGATGAACTGCTAGAGGCCGGAGGAATTTTCCTGGCAAGACAGAAAAGAACACGTGTCATTACAGGTCACTGCGTGAGCAGATGTGCTATTCAAAAGATTATTCTAGGTCTCTTCAATCAATGCGTTCATTCATCAAAATACCAATTGTTTCTGAAACAAACATTCAACTCGGACTTCAGGCAAAACTATTTTCCTTCGATTTGGATCCGGTAGAAAAAGGTTTAAAAGCTTGTTTTCCCCTGTGTCCCGATTGGGGAGATTTCTCCTCATTTCCTTTCCCCAGAGACACAACAGGAAGTGGATATATCCCAAAAATCAGAGGAAAGACCACCTTGGACAGCTGTCACCAGAACTAGTGTCCCCATTGAAAAATATTCTTCCTATGCTTGTTTTGGTGACAAATTACATTTTAGATTCCCCCTTACTTTCAGGCCTGGTGACAACCATCCCCAGGACAAAGAGTGAAAGAGGACACACCATAAAACAGTGACTGAGGTTCTAACCTTTCCTCCATCATTCTAAAACTAAAAAAAAAATGTTATGCTCTAACAAGACAAGAAAATGGGTTTTTCTTATTCACTTCCACCTATTAAAGTAAAGTAAACCTGTGCTTTACCCATGCAGGGCAAAAGACAACCATTTCCCCTATCACACTTCTCATCAGCACATACTTACCTCCTCTTCACTCCCCCGGATATAGGGAGCACTTAACGCACTTCAATTCGGTGTGCTGGTGACATCCTGCTTCCTTACTGATCCCAGCGGAGCCATCCGCAGTCACTTCAGCACCCACCTTGATCACTTCAATTCCTCTCACAAGCCGCATGGAGTTTGGGAGAGAGTCCCCAGTCCTGTGTAGGCTCAATTTGGAACTTACACAGGACTAAGATAGAGCTACACAGGTCATTTTAAGCTCTTGTTACTAGAGATTAACCTACTTGTCGGACGTCACCTGAACTGTCTAGGGCTACACAGGAGATTTTTAGTAGTTCAACCTGCTACTATCGGGATGTAGCGATAACATTTTTTCGGTACTCGCCAATACCATGTTGACCGGGAAGCCGGTGTTCTATCGAAAGCATAAGGCTTCACGCTCACTTGGGACACTGCTAGGCAGCGTGAAGCATGCTTCCTATATACATTAGGGATGTACCGATACTGGTATCAGTGCCGATACTGAGCATTTGGTTGAGTACTTGTTCTCGCCCAAATGCTCCGATACTTACCCGGATACTGGAACTGCTGGTCAGAGGAAGATTGCCTCTGACCAGCAGTGCCACGAAAGAGCATGGAACCGGCTTCCATGGTCAATCAGGAAGCCAGGCGGTGGGTCATAGCTTGCCCGCTGATAGGCTAGGAAGCCGGCTCCATGCTTGCGGAAGTACCGGTACTCGGTCTTGGCGAAAGATAAATAACGGTACTCAAAAAAAACAAAAGAAAACGGT